TATAAAGTATTCCATTTAATAATGTCTTTAAACTTTCCTGAATTTGTTTGTATTTATTGAATTAGTTAATCAATGCCGTAATTAACACTTATTTATTTATGAATTCTTAGAGTGAGAAATCATGAGGATGACAAGAGTAATTGAAAGAGAGGTCGTATATCGAGAGGAGTAAGAAAGACATCAAGAGTCTAAATCATCAAGAAAACCCTTAGCTTTTTATCATATAATTAATTTCTCTTCAATATCTTAATGCTATTGTATTAGCTGGAACAATATAGTTAAATCTTCGAATGATTTATTATATTTTCCATTAAATAATCTTTTTCTTAATGTTCCAATGTTAATGTATTCTTGCGATATACATCCAATACAAGGATATATAATGTCTTTGAAATTGTATAGACGACATGCAATTTTTCAAGATCGTTAAGTGACTTATGAACTAAAGTTGAGAAGTTCATATCTCACAGTCACCACCAAATGTTATGAGGTGATTTGTATCCTTTTACTATGAAAATACGAAAATAGATAGTTTTTAAGTAATAAGGCAACTCGCCAGAGGCGTGATGATGGTGATTTAGCAATAGTTTAGTTTTAAAATGTTATTATCAAGGTGATTTATTCAATGTTATATGTAATAGTATTAGAATCCCATAGGACCTACATTTACAAGAGAGAAATTACAGAGTTTTTATAACTTTCAATATCTTTACAATCTCAAGAGGCTTTGGGATAAATCAGATAAATCAGATCTTTCATCACGAAAGATCAAGAAGAATCACTATAACTAAAGGGGCTTACAAAGATAAGTACAACATTATTACAATAATTAAGGCTTTGCCTTTACAACAATTACTATTTTAACTATTTCTAATTATTTCTTGTTTCTTGTTTTCTTCTCTTTAGATCTTCATTTGTTCTTCTTGGAATTCTTCTTTGGATTTCATGTAGGTTATCTTTCTGTTATTTAGCTGGTAAGCCTCATGCACTAGTCGATATGGAATTCTGATGATCGATCTGCATAAAGTCATGAGTTTGCTGCGCCAAATTGTTGATCTACCTTTTAGCCCATGACACTAAATAGTTTTGTTTTTTTTCATATATGTGGCATATTTTTTCTTCCCTTATGGAAAAGCAAGAGATAAACTATTCTGTCCAGATCTAGGTAGAAAAAGTTTAGAAGGAAGGATAGGTAGTCTTGATGAGCCAGTAGGAACCTTTCAGTGAAGATTTATTCTTTGCAAGTGCAGTAGAGAATATTTTGGAGAAGAATCCTGCCTATAGCAGATCGCATATGGGTAATTTGGACTCTTGTTACAATAAGCTAGGTGAGCTAATATTTGTAATTTAGGTAGTGTTAGGGTTTATACCCTATGAAAATTTTAATATTTTACAGTATAATATTATAAAGTCTAATAAAGCAGAGGCAAGACTGCCGAACTGTTAAAAAAAAAAAAAATCTAAAAAAAATAAAATAAATAAAAGAAAAATTTAAAAAAAAACAAAAGAAAAAACAAAAAATTGCAAAAAAAGAAAAACAAAAAGAAAAGCCCAAAAGCTGACAAAGGGAGAAACTATCTTTATCAAAAAGTAGTAAGAAACCCAAAGATTTAAATGAATATATAATACACTATTATAACTCATACCAAGTTAAAGTAAAAATTATATAACAAATACAATAATTATATTTCTCTAGTGAGATGTGGTGGCTTAGTGAAGTGGTCTAGTCATCACCCTCTCCAAGTAGCAGGTCTAGAGTTCAAATCTTACAGACGACAATTTTGAAAAATAGGCCTGTGATACAGTAACCTGTATATCATGATTGGATCTTAAATTGAGGATCTATAACTCGAGTTGTACCAGAGAGTGATTCTGGAAGATTCGCTAGCATTTGTATAACTGGGGAAACCCAGAAACTACAAAGGAATGCAAACCAGTTTAGGGCAGTGCAAATACTTGATAAGTTCATGATCGTGTAAATCTTGAGAATCGCCTTTACTATACAGAAAACCCATTTGGGAAGTTCCAAGTTGGGAGTAGCAGTGATCTTTGATGGTACTACATAATGGCTGAATTCAAACCGGGGCCAAGATCAGAGAACCGAGCAACTAGGTCCTTTAGTAGAAAGACACATCAGCTGAACTGCCAGGCAGATGCATCGGAGGAAAAGGGCATATACTTCAAAAGTATAGACCAAGGGGAGGGCGTCTTTTAGACATCTAAAGCCTGGGCAGACCAACCTGTTCAGGTTGCTGGCTAAAAATAAGGGAGAGACCGATTAAGAATCTGGGTAAGAAGACGGTGGATTGGGGTACTGAAATTGTTGTGAACCTTGCAAGAGCAGGTGTACATAATGGATGACTAATTAGAAAGGTTGGCATTTGAGATACAGATTGGGTTATAGCAGCACCCCAAAAGTTGGCTTGAGATACGAACCCATTGGCAGCAGCACAACATGTACTAGTTAGGAAGAAGTTACCGAACAGGCAGTTGAATATATATGTGGAACATGTACCGCGCTGTTAGGTTTACTACAAGAATAAATGCTTTCTGTTGTTGGCTAAAGTCTTAGTGTCTTAAACAGTAAATTGTCTCCGTTAAAAGAGATATATTAGGAGGAAACATGTAACACTAGTAAAAGTCAGAAAATTTAATTAGATAGCTTTCTAGTTAGGCTATAGGTATAACATCTAGTGTAGAACCCTTAGTATAGCACTAATGCTTCAGGCAAACTATTTAAATTAGGCAACCAAAAGTTGTACATGTGGCTAGTTGTACTTTCGTGATACTAATGTAACATGTAGTCTGGTCTTCGAACAAGACTACCCGCTTGTACTAATAAAGTGCCAGGGACTACGAGTGGTTACCTTAATATTTAAAAAAAAAAAATAATTTATATATCTCTAGTATAAAAATATACCTTAGTAAATATATTTTCTGACTAATATCCAACTTCAAATATCTCTTTAACCAAGACCTGATTCAAGTTATATAAAGTAGCACTGAATCTGCAAATAAACAAAACATGTGATTGCAATCTACTGAGTACATCTAAATTGAAATATAAACAATACTAATCTTTTGAAGGGGTAAACCAAATCTCTACTTTTTATAAAAATTTTTAAAAGACTAACAAAAGAGCAAGAGGAGGTAAAAAAGAAACTACTTAAGCTAATAAAAGAAGTGTGGCTAAAGAAAAAAATAAAGTTTGTTATACACCTGAATTCTAAAAAAAGGTCTTGTAGTTTCATTGACAGAACTTTGGTTCTATCAAAATTTGCTATAATAAAAAGAATTTTTTTATTATATAATTTTTTTTGGTACTTATAGTATAGTAAACTTGTTTATTTAAATATACTGTATCTATACAAAAAAAAAAAAATTTAAAAATTTGTCTTTTAATATATAACCTTCTATATTACAATACTACATAAGTAGGTACTAATAAAAAAAGTTTAAATATGATTAGAGGTTATAAAAAAATGCAATACAAATTAAAGATTTTATTAATTTTTTTTTTTTTTTTTTTTTTTTTTTTAGAATTTGGACAGTCATGTTATATGCCTGGCTTTATTTATATATTTTAATTATTCAAAAATAATTGATACACAATATATTTTGACAAAAAAACTGGAATATGGCTTATCTAGTTACTTTTAGATATCCAAATACCACTAGCATTTATATATAACCTGCCAAAGATGAGTCCAGCCTCCCCGGTTTGTTTCAACTAGCAGTTAGAAGGATCTACTCGAATCACTAGCCTGGTTCACCAACCCATCATAATCACTTTCTTTTTCAACCTTCTTCTTCTAGCCTCTTAGGTACAGTTAATACTATCTAAATATATACTGTCTAAATATATATACTGCTCAATTGTATACTATTTTCATTTCCCAACATAATTACTAATTATAAATGTATAATTTCTTTATTTGCATAATAAATAAAAATTTTTTATTTTTTATTAATAAAATATTACTTAATTGTATAATAATATCTTTAAAAAAATTAACTTTAAATATAAATAATTTTTGATTTAGTGATCTATTATAGATAATTTAACTACCAAAATGATTAGCTAATAAAAATAATTTTAATAAGCCCAAAATTGTTAAAATCTAATTACAGAATCACAAAATTGTTAATTATTTATATTACTTTATATTAAAACTTTTGATATTTATTATGAATTTTACTAAAACATGCCTATGGTGATTTTTATCTATAGTGAAATTGCACCTATGATAAAAATGCACCTATAGTAAAAATCACCTATGGTGCATTTCAACCTATGGTAATTTTCACCTATATATATACAAATTTTCCTATCAATATATAATATATAATTGACTATATACACTATTTAATTTTTACATATATGTATTAAGGACATGAATTAATATATATACTACATAAGATTATTATCCATATAAATTTAGAACTTTCGGTTCTATCTAGCTTGTTAATATATATATATATGTGTATATACAGAACATATAAAAGTTATTTAACATACAGTATAATGCTAAAAGAGAACAACCTATTTTAATATTTACCCTAACTCTAACTTCAAAAAAAGGTCAAGTATATTTTTCAGTATTTGATATAAGAGATACAATTATACAGATTTATGTTTACAAGAATAAACCCAAATCATATGATATTGCTTTATTAAAAATCAGTTTTTTTTCACATCACATAAACAAGCACTTAGCATTTTAGATAGCAGTTAGTCATACTTACACTATTGTTTACATTTTAGCAGTCATTAAAACAATACATACACACTATCAGTGCTATGCAAATAACGGATAAAATTATTATAACTTAGTTCCTATTATTTTAGTACTATGTTTAATAATCCTACCCAGTATTTGCAAGGCACTAGAACATTAAAATAATAGTATTGCAAAACATAATAAATTGAACTTACATACGTATACACATACATATATACATAAATGCTACATACACAGAGCATGATACAGATAACTATTTCATAATATCAGGACAACGAGACCTTCGATAACCATTTTTACCACAATGTCTATATATATATGATCATTTTTTCTTGCCTCATTATTGATTACCATAACTGTCCCTAAAATACAGTAATTATTTAGAACAATGCTTATCAATACAGTATGAATAAAGTCAATAAACATATATATACTTACTTTGATTTTCATGTGTGTCCATATTTTGATCATACATTATTTGATCTTGATCTTGGCTTACTTGAACTTGTGCATCACCACCCATATCGATTGACTCAATACTAATGCTAGAGTTATCTGACCTTATTAAATTTTTATTATGCTGAACGTTAGTATTTTCTTTTAATACTTTTTTCTGCACTCCATCATTGAAAGCTACTATATGTTTTTGATGCTTTCGACCTTTCATTCATGACTTTGGAGGATTGCTGATTGATCTATAATGATTTTCTTTATCTGATTGTAAACCATTTTCTTGGCTAGCAAGTTGTTTTTGCATATCTGCTATAAACTGCTAATGCAACTTGTATAACTTTTAAGTCTGACCAGTTTCAATTGCCATGTTCAAAGCTTTTTTCATTAACCCAAAGCCTTTACTATAAAGAGAATGACTTTTTATATAATTCTGCACCAAATGTATTGGCCATGCATTGAGTTAATAAAAGAAAAATTCATCTAAATTTTATATTCAAATGTACCAAAATTTTGACTATTTCTAATTGAAATAGCATGTTCATTACTAAGTTCCTCATTTTTTTGTATTACTCAATCATTGAACCAGCGCTTTGCTAAAATTCCAATATGAAACTGTGCAATTTTACTTTCTAATAGAATGGCAAAAAAATGATGACAAATGATGCTATAATTTACAAGTGTCAAACATGTACACAAATGACCTGCATTACCTAATAGAATGACAAAATAATATTTTTGTCGATCTATTTGTGACACTACCCAAAGCTCCTTGATATCATTAAGATCAATACCATCAACAAGTGTAGTTAATTCAATCAGAATCTCATCATACAAATTCTCGCTAAATATGCTTTCTGATGTATTTTACAAAAAATAAAATAAAAATCAAATAACTAATACACTAATGAGCCAAAATATAGGTCTTTTCTAACCAAACAATAATCAAAACATGTAGTTGCATTAAAATACCATTTCACTAATATTTCGTTTTTGTAATTCAGTATCCAAATTCATATGATAAGCTCAATAATGAGGACAATGATCTATCTGATAACATTGTAGCTTTTGTATTGCTAGTGTAAGAAACTTTGCACATATTTCATCAATTGCTATAAAACAGTGATCTCGATATGATGCAAGTGCAATACATAGTAATTCTCCACTAGCTTCATTGAATCTTACAAATTGTGACTTTCTTATAAAATTCTGTTCAATTATACCTACTACTTTTATAAGCAATATTGTCCCATTTAATGATTTTTTGAGAATTGTATTATAATCTTCAACTTTTTAAGTTGATTATATACCACAATTGAAAAACTGATGTGTAAATACAAGAACCCATGCTTCTCGATAAGAATAAAGCTGATGTTTTAGATAAGACTGTGTTTTAGAATATGAATCCAAGACTTTTTACCAATTTTGTTCAAAAACACTTTCAGTAGTACTATTTTGTATATGACAAAAACTTGCAAAAAACTCTCTATATTTTTCACTACCAAACTTAGAAAGAAAGTACTTTTCAAGATTTTTCTTTATGTGGAACAAGAAAAATAATGTTTCGTGTTAGGCCATACACCTTCTATTGCACTAGTTAAAGCTGAATCTGTGTCTATATAAACAACTTTTAGTGCTAGTTTCCCTTAATTATAAAAAAAAAAAGTTAATATATGAGTGAATTAAAACAGATATATAATCCAAATTAGTAAACAAACAACCTGTTGCATTAAGCAATCTCTGCAAAATCCATTTGAATGTTGATTTTTGCTTATCTACAATTAAGGCTGTTGCAACGAGACAGAATCTATTATGATTATCTACACAAACTACTATGCACATTATTATATTAAACTGATTGGTTTACAGATAGTATCAAGTAAGATAACATCATGAAAATGACTCCAAATATCAATTTGCTTAGGATGCAACTATATAAGTCCCACAAGATAATTGTCGCTTTCTTTAAATTTAGCATCAACATACCAACCGGGCATTTCTTGTTTGCGTGCATTAGTTCTTTGTAAGTTGCCTCTGTATCACTCAACTTTCTCTTTTCTGTTTTGATAGTTTGGACTAGAGTGTCCAGGATTATGATCCGGCATAATATCCATATAATTCACCTTATAGCACATAAAATATGTGATTTTATATAATTTAAAGAAACTTGCATAATTTCACATAATTTAGCTATTTTCATATATAAAAAAATTTCTATTGGCCAATTGCTGTTACACAGATTAAGTAACACAGAATATGTTATCAAGTCGGCCTATATATACCCTACTAACTCTGAGTAGAATCATATGAATAATGCTGGCTAAACTATCATAGTATTTATACTTTAAAATTAATAGATCTGAATGTAGTAACAATTATTGATTATACTAGAACTTTTATAGCATTGGTTTAACTATTATATGCCAACACACTACGTATTGGTTATTCAATGTAAGTTACATACATACTTGTAATTTTTGACATGAGCAAATTAAAAAAACTAAAAATTTTTAGTAAAAATTTCATGCTTTTAGATTAGAGAAGAAACTTGCAATTAGATTAGAGTTCGAAAATATTATTTATATAATAAATTTTACAATACTTAAATCAGTTTCATAAACTAATTTTTTTGGTTATAAGGCAAGACCAATTTGATTCTGTTTACATTATCTCCCTACTTTCCTTCTAATAAATTATATATATGATATAGTCAATTCCCCCTCTCCAAGAGAGAAAAGAAGTAATTTAAAACACAGAACCAAGTTGGTCTCGCCTAAACATTTGTCTTGCATTATAGCTGGTCTTAAAATTTGGTTGGTCAGCAAAACTTTTTAACTCTAATTTTGAGGTCTGCATAATTTGCATAATTTACGATTTGCTGCATGCATAATTTTGCAATTACCGGCACATAATCCTGGACACTCTAGTTTGGACAATATTATAGACACAACGTGCATGTATATACTGGCCTGGGTACTTGTATGTTAGCACATTAACTATTGATCTGGTATGTACATTGCTAGCAGCAAGAAGCTCAACATTATCTCATATTTCTGGTATAGGACAACAGTATTGTGGTGCAACCATTTGTATATTTTCACTTATTAAATGTTTACCAATTATACCTGAGATACGTATTCAGTTGTTACTTCTCTATCTTTGTAAATTAATATAAAACTCACACCCAGTATTTTCATATGCTTTGTTTCTTTTTTCTAACATATGGGTTTTTTTTTGTTTCATAATGACATCTCTTTGAGCAATAATAAACATGATGTCTTGAAATGTTATTATTCTTATCCAATTCACTTTTCGCTAATGAAAAGGCAAATCCTCATTCACGCCCATGTTTGGCAAGATAACTTTAACTAGTTAATACTTAAGTACAAAAGAAAATAGAGAGAAATATAAAAAAAAAAAAAAAAGTTCACTTTATTATACCTCTCAACATCCTTCCAATTTACAAAACTTTGTCCTTTTGTTAGAGGATATAATTCCTCCTCTGAATCAGTGAATTTATCAGGTTCAGTTTCAGTTTCAGGTAATTCAGTAGCTTCTTCTATTATTTGCAGTTGACCATTAAAGTTTAAAGGTTTGTCGAACATATTTGTTTCAACATTATTTGCAAAACATAAATTTGCCAGGTTGAATTTATTTTTGCTTGCCATTTTGAAAGACTATACTAACTAGGTTCTATTAATTTTTACAACTTTTTGAGTGTAACGTTATAACTATTATATAGTTATACAGAGTAAGAGTTAGAAGTTAAATATACGCAAAATTTTTAACATATAATAAAGGTTAGTAGAAGTTAATAAAAGTAAAAGTTATGTCACATCATGTATATAATCAAGATCATTTAGTTACACATAGTCACGTCATGCATATATATAGTCTATAAATTATACTATTACACAAAATAGGTGTAAAATCACTATAGGTATATTTTATAATAATTGTTTATTATATATAAAGTAATACAAATCATCAACAATCTTATAATTCTGTAATTAAAGTTTAACTATTTTGGGCTCATTAGAATTATCTTATTAAGCTAGTCATTTTGGTAGTTAAATTATTCAAAACAGACTACTAAAACAAAAGTTATTTATATTTAAAGACGAATTATTAATAAAATTTTGATAATTTTAATTGGTTAATTAATATATTATATGATTTATTATAACTATCTAATTGCATATCATATGGGCTAATTTCTGATTATTGGGCTCTGAATAGAGTCACTAAATTCAGTTTAAACCCTTTGCTTAATTGTTTTTTATTGGTCTAACACATTGTTAGGGTAATTGATTTGATTTTTTGAGGGTCTTTTCTATACAATTATGCAAGAAGGATATAACGAATATGCGTTTAACCTATTAGATTATCTTAAAACCTATCAGATTATCGTCTAATTATTAGCTTGGGCCTACCAAGATATGCTGTTTGACTTTGTTATTGTTATGAGTAAATGGTCAAAATAACCCTTTTGTCTCATTCATTTAGACAATTGTATTGTCAAATAACTTGACCCACTATAAAAAATTTTTAGAGTATGGGGATCTCTCTCTTGCATTACTATACATATTAGCCCATATGTACTGTTTATATGCATAGAAAAGTCTCTAACAGATAGTATGCAATTAAACAGTATCAACTATAGAAGAATTTACTAATAAACAATAGTAAATTCAAGAAATTAAAAGGAAATAAAAAAAAAGGAAAATATTAAACTAAGCAAAAAGAAAAAAAACAAATAAAAAAGAAAACAGAGAAAAGAAGAAGAAGGCTGCAAAAAAGATAGCTATGATGACATTATTTTTGCCTGTGTCAGGCTATAAAAATTATATAATGTTTATAGAAAAAAATCTACTTTAATACTATATATAAAAAAAAAGAAGTGAAAGAGAAATAAAAATGAAAGACAGCATCTATGTTGTTAGAAATTTTGTAATGCATCTGTTTCAACTATCTATAAAAGCAGTTATTGTTTATTTAGCCAAAGTCATATATTAAATTTACTCATACCAGATTCTTCTTCATTAAACACAATCCGATTTTGAAAGAATCAGACTATTTAAAGCATTGCCACCAACAGTTATTTGAAACAAATAGTTAGGAATACCTAGTTGTTGAAACTTTGAAATACCAAAAGAGCAAAATAAAAATGCACTGTTATAACTAGTACTAGGCTAATAAAAACTGCAATAGTTGTATATCTCTTATATAAGACTTCATCTTAACCTTTATATTTTTTTGACAAGTCTGCTACCCTCAGATAGCTCTTTAACTAATAGGTTCTGAGGTTACAATCCAGGTTCTGTGAAGTAGTACTATAACTATAAACAAATATGTTATGTGGTTGTATTCTACCGAGTACATCTGAATTGGAAAAGTAAACAATACTAATCTTTTGGAAGGAATAAACCAAATTTCTACTTTTTTTAAAAAAATTTTGGAAGACCAGTAGAGAAGTAGGAGTAAGAGAAAAAGGTTGCAAGTATTTTCAAAAATTTTTAAATAAGTATGTTGAAAGAGTAAAACTTTTTGTTGTTTTCTCTATATTCTTTTTTGAAATACTGTAATAGCCTAATAGCTTCATTAACAAAATTGGGCTTTACCACCCACACTTCACCAAGATTTTTTATACAAGGGCACCACCTGCTAGTTACAGTATCTTATATAATAATGCTTTTGGCTTGTATGCTGAACACCTTTTTAAAGAAGTCCTTTAGAAAAGCAATTAACTTCTATACAAACTACTATGTAGGCCATGTCTTTCCAACAAGTTATAGTCTTTTTTTAGCAGAAAATTTTGGTATAGGTAATTACTAGAAAGAGTTGCCCCAATTGATTAAAAATTTTATTAATATTTGTTAACAATATCTTAATAGTTATTATAATAAAGTTCAAAGTATATATAATGTTTATTTAAAGTAATAGTAATTCATTAATACAGTTATATCTTTAAAATTGTTTGAAAATTCAACCTTTAGAAGACCTGTTAATACCCAAATGTTTAGCAATTACTCTAATTTAAACCTTTTAAGTTCTTTTAACTATTTTTCAATGAATATGTTTAATAAATCTTAGTGACAAATATACTATATATATATTATATATTTATATAGCATTGAGATAAATAGCTAATCAAATTTAGCTAAATAAATTTTAGCAAATTTTTTTAGAATATCCTAGAATTTATGAAAATAGCTATAAGTAAAAATTGTTTTCTAGCAAATTTTGTATAGTGTGGGCTTATTTTTTAAAAATTTCTATGTTTGTAATAAAAAAATCAAAAAATTAATTTTAGCAAAAAATTAGTAACCAATTCTGTTATATAGGCTAGAAATTTTGCAAACCATGGCTATTAGCCAATTAAAATTAAAAATTTATCATGACAATTTTGTTGTAGCAGCTTAATTTGTGGGTTAACCAACAGGTTATCTGCAGGTACCTCGCAGGTTGACTACCCAGGTGGCTATAATTTTAAACTAGGTTACCCACTCATCTGTGGGTACCTGGATAAAACCTATTTAGATTAGAACACTAGCTTGAATATATAACAATTTAGCTATCTAGTTATTTCTATTACTTGCACTATTTTTATTACTTTTTTTAATTAGTTTTTTTAATTATTAAGTTAAATCATCTCTTTTTATTTATTAAATTATTCACTATTTTTTTTTTATTATACTTAAATTAACAGACTTTTTTTATTATTAAATTTATTTATTATTAAATTGATCATATCTTTTTTATTTTATTAAATTAATTTTTTTTTTATTTCATTAAATTAATCTTTTTTTTATTTTATTAAATTAATCTTTTTTTTATTTTATTAAATTAATTTTTTTTATTTTATTAAATTAATTTTTTTCATTTCATTAAATTAATATTATTTTTTTATTTCATTAAGTTAATCAGTTTTTTTTATTAGACATCAATAAATATTCTAAATATTTCTTATACTGATAGATGAAATACAATTTCTAAAAGCACTTAATAATTAAAAAATTACTTTGCTGATCACAAACCTCCAAGTATAAATAGTATTGCAAAAAATTTTGGGCTTTTTAAAGCTATACTTTGACATGTAAATAATAAAAATAGTTTTTCTAATTGACAGAGTTTATTTACTATATTTATTAAATATGAAGAAAGCTAAATTGTTGGCTATTGCTTAAATATACAACAGCTTGGATTTGGTTTAACCAAGTCTAGTATAAACTATTGTATAAGGAAATAATATACTACAATAAATAGCTATATTTATTTAGAAATAAAGAGCCAGGCCAGGCCTGGTAGACTTATTTTATAAGAGATTATTTTAAACTATTATTTTGTACTTCTTAAGAATTATTCAAAACTTGTATACAAGAGCAAATACAACCATTGTCAAAAACAATTTTAATAAACTCAAATAAATTATTAATGAAAATTCACTTATAGTATTACAAATTTGGAATATGTATAAAACCAGATTTGTTCTTATATCTAAATTGAAAAAAGTTCTTAAAAAAAAGACAATGTCAAGTATATAAAATTGCATACAAAAATTCTTATAAGTATATCTTGATCACTTTAACAATTTTAATCTCTAGATTGTATATTTCACTTCTAGTAATTTATAAAGATGTTTGTTTAATTTCTGGTTTGCTAAATAGCACATTTTCTAAAACAGTTATAGGTTTTACAGACACTAAGTATATTTATGAAAACTTTTTTCAAACATACTTTATATATTTTGTTAGTTTAATTCTACTAATTTGTCTAGTTTTAATCATGTTTAATAATTACAAAAGCTATATCAGCTATATATTAATTATCAGGAAATTTTTTAAGCTAATAAGTAGAGTGCGAAATGGGCCAGGTTCAACTCGAGATTTTGCAGATCGGGTCAGGTTTGGGCCTGGGTCGGGCTCAAATTTTAGGTCCACTATAAACAGGTCAGGCTTGAGTCGGGCCTAATAAAGTATCAGGTCAGGCTCGGGCTCTGTTAATTAACCCGCAAAGCTCAATAATACCAAGCAAACTTTATAGCTTAAGGGGAGCGCTATTTATCACCTAATTTTTTAGGGGGTGGGGGTATACATGTTGGCAAAATCCCGACTTACTATAGTTTGGGATTTGTCCGCTATCCCAAATTCCAAATCCCAAATTCTAGTATAACTAATATCTCAAAAACTTTATTAATAATCTTTATTTAAACAAATTATATAT